AGCTGATCTTTTAGATCTCAGTGCGAGTAAAAAAATATTTTTATTTACATTATTTTATTTGCTTTGCAAAATTCAAAGTGGAAGATTTATTTCCTCCTCCAAACTGGATAATTTAATTTGCACGTAAAAAAAACAACAAAACAACTGAGAAAATATTTGGACCATATTTGCATACAACACACATTCACATTTTTTCAGTAACAACCCACTTCATACCTAGCTTTGATGAACGCTAAACATCACAAACCCACTGTAAATACAACTGTAGCTAAAGTAAAGTGTTGCCAAAATATGTAAATGATTATCCAGACTGAAGGTCTGTGTTTGTCTTGCAACTTGACTGAGAGCCGAATTTCAGCTCTTACAGTAAAACACTGAAGTATGTTTGGCCTTTATCAAACGTAAAATAAGTGAACAAAGTCCAGAAAAGAACCGTTAATATCTTCAGCGCCTAGGGGCGCACTAGTTGGCCATTAATTAAACGTATTACTCCCTAAGCACAGCTGTCCTTCCAAAAACAAGACACTTTAATTTCCATTACTCCCTGCATGGCCAGACCGTGACTGATACTGCTCTGCAAGACTGGCAACTGGGATGCCACTAGTCCGTCTCGCCTTAGCAGAGAACACAGGGCCATTACCCAAAAGGATGAGACCGCTAATACTCCTAGTAATATCAGTCTGTGCAATGCGGCTCACTTGACTTCGAAATAAAGGGGGCGGGCGGCCCACAGTTGGAAAACAGGTGAGGCGATGAAACCAGATCTGTTGGTATACAGAATATGGCCAGTCTACGATGTGTTGTGTGGGGGGGGTCACCAAGTGCATGATATTAAAATACTTTTTCCTCCCGCACGCTGGCCACATTTCGTCATCCCTCCACCCACTCTCTTCACCCACACCCCCCCTCAAAGAAAACGCCACCTACCTCTCAGCACCCCTGTGGCATCCACACATACAAGCTACACCATCTGTCTGAAACCGTCAGTCAGCTATAGGCACATCATTAAACCCACCATACCCTAGTAGAGTGGTATTCTTAAAGCTATAAAGTTTGAAGCAGGGTACCAAATATTGCAAGTTGCTGATTTTATGACACGTTTTAATTTTAGGTTCTGGCTACCTTGTGTACATTAAAACATGCCAAGTAAAATTTCACTGGAGAGCTAACAGGCTACAGCTAATTTTAAGAGCTAGTACTTACAGTTTAACCTGGCTCAGATTAAGTCAAAATTAAGGACATATTTGCTGCTAAGCACAAATGTCCATATGTTATTACTCTTGCTGGCTCCCATGTAAAAGATACACTTATCTCTAAAGTCTGATAAATCCCCATCTGTAATTAGTCTATTCTGTGCTGCTCTAGGGGTCGTGTAAAACCCCGTACATTTCTACTCCGTTTCGAAGAACTTCCAACTTTAAATTTCCATAGAGAGTGATCGGTAGTTCGCTTAGCTTTGAAGAAATGCCTCCACAAAGGCGCATTTTATTGGCATTAACATCGTTTCCATTATCTTTTATTAGATAACGAGAAGGGGGGTGTAGTCGGGATTTGGGTGGATAAAGAGATCTGAGCACACACTGAAGCATCCTAAATAAAGATTCAGCCCCTGATCCCAGGTCCAGATACCTCCAAATAGCTTGCAGACACACGCTTGTTTCCTTCATTTGCCTCTTAAACTATGGGATCGACACTCTGTCAGCCGCTCCCTGTTTTCACAGTAAACATGGTTAAAAGGCACTAATGGGACCCCAAGCAATCGTTCACATTCTATTGTTTTTCTGTAACATTTTCTGTATTGTGTTGACCTTCGCTACCGGATTTTCTGATTTATCGACCAGGCCATCCCCGACACCGATAAAGAAAATTACCGGATTAAAAACGATCAATTAAATGATAAAACGAATGGACCTAATGGGTCATTATAGCGAGAGATATGAGCCTGCTTAGCTGATTTGATATGTTCAGCTTTTTTTCAGCAATGAAAGAAACCCTGCGAGGTGTTGCCTATAAAATCATTTATTTTGGTAATGCTGTAAATTAAAAATGAAAGGAGTATTTACGAACTGCATTACAGATGGCTACATGTCTTAGATATGTGGCACCTTGTAAAATTCTACGCCGAGAAAAAAAATAACGTTTTTTTTCTTTGTAATAAAGGGAAATAGACAAAACAGTTTACTTTTCTGTTTACTTTTTATAAAAGAAAAATCACAATCTGTTCAAAATGTATACATACTCTGTCTGAACTTCTTGCACACTCATTCTATTTTTCGTCGAGTAGACGAACTCCGTTTATTCAGCAAAATACATACTACGACCCTGTACTGGTTTTCATCAACGTGAAAGAAAGCTGTTCTGCACTGTGAAGTAGCATCAGGTCTTATGTTTCTTGTAAACCTTTGAAATTAAGCAGCAATACCTGTGAAGACAGGTTTGAAAATGTATTTCTTAATTTTCCGGTGTATGAATTCTGTATCCCTGTACGTATGAGAGTAGAAGTATATTTTAAGTATATTTTTAAAAGTTTTGCTTTTACTTTAAAAAAAAAAACTATAGTTCTATCCCTTTAAATTATAGTGTCGGTTCTAGGTCTTTTACACAGAAAAAAAATTGAGACCCAGTTTTAAAAAATATCAAAATATTTTAATAAACATAATCCCCACCTTAGTCGTAATTGTAAAGTTTAATGCTTATTTGCAGATACAGGTAATGCATTTGGCGTTTTTGAATGTTGCAATCGCTTAGTTTAGTATTGAGTCCCGTTATTAATTTAATTTATAGTTCTTTCTGCGATTCCTTATTAATCTTTTTTTTTTAGCGTCTTCAAATTAATACTGACATTTTCAGAAATATCAATCCATTGTAACGTTCCAAAATACACAAGTTTGAATCAAATTAAGCAGTTTTGGTTTAAATTCGTGTTAAATTCGTGTCTTTTGAAACAAACGCTCTTTCCAACAAACCATGTTGAATTACGTAAATTTCAGGGAAAAAGAAACGTTTTTGTTACGTTCCAGTCCAGTTAAAATCTTCGAAGGTTTTTAATAGTACGTTAACCTTAAGACTCTCCGCCCTTTTCTTAGATTTACAGTTTAATTAAAATGCAAATACTATTACAAAAGCGAATCGGGCTGTTTAGGTTATCAGACAAAAGTTTAGAAAGTTCTCAGAAGTGCATTTTAAGACACTCTGATTCTATTGTCTTGTAGATTCACTGCTGTTAAATGTTATTTACGATTCTTTTTCTAAGCGAGAATGGGGCTCTGTTATTTCTACAGCTCTAAAAGGCAAATGAGAATGATGCCCCAAGTCGGTCTCCCCCTTTTTTAAATGACGTCCTTTTTAAATTGAAGTACTGTATAGCGAATTATCACTATAATATATATATGCTGACAGCGCCATGCAACAAAAAACTGTTTCATACTCTCTCTAACTTAATAAAGTATTTACAGTGCTCGTTCTGTTAAATTGACGAACCTGAATGCAATGCTTTAAATTATAACGCAACACAATAGGGCCCCGGTCGAATTCGGAAGATTCAGACACTTGTTTTACTTTTTCTCCGTTTTGGCTAGTATTAATCATTACGAAAACCTTCCGAATTACACCGATTTACGGCTTGCAAGGCACTGGTGAGTTTAAGAAATAATTAAGCCGCAACTGATGAAATTCTATTTACAGGCCTATCTCAATCTTATTTAACAAAAAAAAAAACGCCAAGATGTATAAAACAAGTTTTGGTTGTTTTTACTGTTAAGGCGGCAGTAACTGACATTTACAAATACTTATGAAAGCAATTTATGAAAACGACTTCACCTGCAGTGTTCGCTTTTATCCAACAGAGATCACTGCTCAACGGCAAACCGTAAATCTGGAGCACAGCAAGCCAGACTACCTGAAGTACCAACATTTAAAATAATAATAACAGACATCACAGCCAGGATAATGCCCGGCTCGCCTTCTGACGGCAATATATTATTTACACTATATGCAGAATATGATGTAATATTCATGTAAGGATGGCCTCGGGCACTTTTTCTGAAATAAAATGCAAGCGCTGTCTTATTAAGCCGAAGCTGTTTACTCCCGGGGATAGCGTTGTCAACACTGAAAGAAAGTAATTAAAATGTAAGACTTTTTAGATTCTCCGTCTAAGGAGCATCGTAAGATCTATTCGATTGAACGTGCCTTTATACAGTTAATGCAATTCCATGTGTAATTAAACCTATTCTTTGAGCGAGTACACGTAGTTAGGGTAATTTTCTACCCACAGAAATATAATTTATGGGGGCCCATTATTAGACACCTAAAAATAAGCAAGATCGGCAGAAGATATTTCCAGATTTAAAAAAGTAATGATGAATATACCGCCTATTGTACGACTTTTAAAGTATTTTTAAGGCTCTGACCCGGTCGAGGGAATTTTGTGAATTATATTCGGTGCGTTTTAGCTGAATTAAAGAATATACACTCCAATTGATTATTCCAAGTGTGTGGCAAGCACTGGACTGCGTCCTGTATGGAAATTTTAACCTTAGAATTAGCTTCTTAAGACTGAATCCCTGAAGATTGCTGAGCCGCTTTATGAAAACGACAAGTTGGGACTGAACAAACCTATTCCCTTTTTATATCGCCCGAGGATTAGCGTCCGTACTGGCATCTGCGCCGCTCGCCGAGCGGACTTATTCATGAAAGTAGACAATAATTAATCGGTCGATGCTCGTAAAATTAAAAGCTGTGCAGTATTAAACAAAACCGGCGCAGAGCTATGCTGCTGTACAAGGATATTCGCACTAAAGTTAAACGATGTGACCGCCCTGCGGATGTATCTCAGACGTGAAAACAGTTTAAAAACATGAGAAAACATTTTAACAGTTTTGCTCGGAGAACCCTGCGGTTTTCAAAAAAATACTTTTTAAAAAAAAACGCGTGTAATGTGTTCATCGCTTACCGCAAGAACAGCGATGCCGAGAGATAAACATGATTCTTTCGCTCACCTGTACCAGTCCAGCCCGTTGTCATAGTTCCTGTCGAAGAAGTGCGGCTCCGCTCCCACAGCTCTGATGTCGGGGTGCACCCGGAGAAACTCGAGGAGGGCGCGGGTGCCTCCCTTCTTCACCCCGATGATGATCGCCTGGGGCAGCTTCTTGGTGCCCGACCCGTTCGAGAAACTCGACAGGGCGCTGGGCTCCAGAGACCTCTGCTCGCTTCTCATCTCTTCCCAGTCGTCAGTTCTGTCCACTTCGATCTCGTTATTCAGCAAGTCTCTGGAAGCGGTCCTGACCGGAGGTTCATCGTAGTCCGTTTCCAAGTCCACCCAGCTCTGGGTTCTAGGGAGCAGTCTGGACATGAGATCTGTCCCCCCGCTGTCTGTCCTTTTGGCGGCGGTCTGAATGTCCTTCCCCCGGTAAGAGTCCACCATCAAACTTGGCATAGTGGAACAGTAGCCCACGCAGGAATACAACATATATACCCACAGCAAAAGCATGATGCAGAGCAGCAAGAGTTTCTTTTTCACTGGGCTGAAGGAAATCGCATACAGATTGTGACAAATCAGGCTATATTCCATAAGCCTTGTGTGTGTAAATCATAATCCGAAGAGGCATATTGGCAAAATTAAATCCAGGTAGCACTAAAAACGAAATCCTCGCGTAACAGACAACACCTCTGGCAAAAACAACAAATTAAAAAAAAATAAACTAGGTTGAAATAAATAGCATATATTTAGGTTCTACCTCAACACGGGTTGTGCCAGTTTTCCGACATAATTGCCACATGTAAGAAAAGACATGGATCTTAATTTGCAAGCGGTGCACCTCAAAGTCGCTCCACAACCTGTGCTTTCTCTCGACGCATCTCGCTCTCCCGACCTACTACCTACTGCGAGGACCAAGCCCCTTGCAGAATACTTGATCCTTATACAGAGCCCTGTGCGCATGACTGACAAGTCAGCCGCCCTATCACAGGAGCCCAGAGAAATAATTAGCCATTTGTTGATATAAAACGACCTATGAAAAGAGAAGCGAGGCGGGGATTAGCGTGGGACCTTAGGATAGTGCAGGGGATGGAACGCTCCCATTGGCTAAAGAACTATTAAACCGGATTCTTCTTCTAGAACCAGATTCAGAGATTCTGAAGTGTTACAAATCTTTCTTTTGGTGGGAAACCTGACAAGAATGTCCACCCGGTGTGAATTTCTTCCTCTCTGTTTTCAAGCATGATTTAGCACATACAAACACACACACAGGCGACGCATCTCAGGGGACGCTTTCCAGCCCAATCTTTCACGACGATACATTATTAATGCAGACGCGCAACTTTCAGCTTTTATCCAGTTACTCAACGAGGAGTTTTCGGATCAATTACAATATAAAAGGAATATAAACAACTATGACATATTTTATAATCGATAAAATCACCTTCGTTAGGCAGAGATATACACACCCCATTTTCATGTACATGCTTTTTTAAAGTTACTTGTCTCATGCTCTATATTACTGTATGTAAATAGATGTTCTGATTAATATGGTCAACTTGATCGATTAAGAAAGCGAAACATTAATAACGCCGATATTGAAATCAAGCTTTCCTTTCTTAAAGTTAGAAGTGTGTAGCGTATTTGTAGCATTTTAGGGCCACTTTTAAAAAAGTCCAAACTTGGTATTTCTACTTTTGTCCCAGATTAAGGATATACTGTAGTGCAAACAGAGTATATTAAAACCGTATATAATAAAGTTGTTTACTACTCAAAATGTGACATCTAACGATGTGAACGCATTCAAAATACTAGTATTGAGTTTTTGTGCCAAATAATACTTAGAATTTATGAGGAGAAGAAATCTATGTACTAAAAAGTTTCTTTTGTGTTTAGCGAGACACATTTGAATGTGAAAGCCCGTGCACAGCACACGGTTTTAAGAGTCAAAACCAATGCATTATAATGTATTTCTGTACATAGGCTCTCCTGGGTGTATATAGCCGATGGGGGAAATACTATGATATTTTTTTCCTGTAAAAAAAAGTGATAATGAGAGACATTCAAGTTTATTGCGAAGGTTAAATCCATCACCGCTCACTGAGTAAGGAATAGGGAAGACATTCACATGTACGACGGGTCACCCTTCTTATTTACTAGATCATAGCTTTGAGTGTTTCTGTGAGGGGGTCACTCGCGTGGAAATATGTACAGAGAACAGTAAAACTCGCTCTGAAAATAACCGGGAAACAGACTATAACGGTTTCGCACTTATTTTCCAACCACGCTTATTTTAACAAGCTGTAAACATAAACCGCCACGCCCTTCGTTTACCAACGTACTTACTGTTTCAAAAAAGCAAAGAGAGTTAATGATACTAATGACATAAAAACAAAAACTAAACGAGAACACGGTATATAAGATTTTAAATAATAAAAACGTATGTCGAGAAAGAATAACCGGTTATTAACAAAAAATAAGGTGTATTATTCTTTTAAAATAATGACGATGCAATATTATCGCTATAACCTAACGCAACACTGTTACGTCAATGCTGAAAATTATAATTAGTTTAATTTGAAAATTGAAGTTTCAAAACTGTCACACCCGATAACTAGGGTGGAAGGCGCTGTTATTAAAACTGTTTTCTCTTAATTGGTCTCTACCTCGAAAAGCTCGTTTGTTTTCCTGCTACCTGCTACCTGCTACCTGTTTTTCTGCTAGCGGGACCGGAACGTTCAAGATTTCGTTCGGCTTCATCTTACAAAATAAAGTTTACTTCGTAGGACGTCGGCGTAAAATACCATTACGTTGTTTCTGGACGACAGTTAATCAAAACAGTTTATTTAGATATTTCGTTGATATTGTGCCAAATAGACTCTCTGTAAACAAAGTCCCTATTCATTAGTAGCTAATTAGTGGTCTCCTGCGGTAACCAATTTGCTCACTTTTCATATTGGGAAGAAAAGAGGTTATAGGTTTTGAATTAATTACTCGTCGGGTAGGTTGTATTATTTATATGTCCCGGATATTCTCAAATATTCTGACGGATCATTTGGGTGTTTATCAATAAATATCTAACAATTTTATTTAATTCGGTTTGCATTTTTTTCTCTCTTAGAAAATGCTTGTGCTCACAAGGAAAAAAAAAAAGAAACCCGGTTAGAATCGCGGGCATTTATTCAACCTGGGCGATTTCGAAATATTTCAGAAGTGTTGTTGTTATTAAGGATCCAAAACCTTAATCAGAACATTGCCCACATTGCGTTTGGAGTAATATGTATGATACATTTCTTCAGATATCTTATTCAAATATTTTAAGATGCACAGGCAGTCAGTGTAGCCTATGAGACACCCCTGAACCTGAAATAAACGAGATCCGTGGGAAAAGGATGTGAGGCAGACGAGCACGGTGGACATAATCAGTGCTCACTCTCAACTAGAACTATGAAAGTTTTGATTACCATTTAAATACCATTAGTGAAGCTTGTATCTCTGAAGCACAAAGCGTTCCGCACACAAACGTAAGCTGGACGTCTGTCGGTCGGCATGTATGTAAATACTTAAGTATGACCAGATCTGAAAGCGATCTGAGATTCAACAGAGCTCAGAAATGATTCTCTCTCCGGGACTTTTGTATGGGAATGCCAGCCCGTGTTATTTACGGAAACTTAAGTTTTGTTGAAGTCTGCGTTTTCTTCCTTATAGCTCCGTTTTTTTAATTACTGTCGGTCTTTTCTTATTCACCTAATTTCCAATGAGATTTCGAAACCTGTTCCTAAAAGCTCCAAAACAACACATTGGGAATCTGTACTGGTTTGTGTTACATAACATCCCCCCTGATGTTATTTCATTATTACTGCTATGATTTGCAATGTTTGCTATTCATCCTATCGCGCAAGACATCAAATTTTATTCGCTGGCGATTTAAAAAGCTTTGTCTCGTTATTTTTTAAGCGGTGCAAATTTTCCCCCTTCAACCCCAACCAATTAAGTACAGCTTCTGTCACAGCCACAGCTGCCCAGCAATCTAACAATGTATAGGAATTAATCAACTTGAATGAAACATACAAATAATGTAACGTTTTCCTCACACGGGCAGGCTTAACAGTCAATCGTTCTTGACTGAATTTAAACTTTTTTTTAAGTTTAAGTCTAAACAGATCTTGGAATGCCCTGCAGTACAAGTCAGCATTCAACCCAGTACGACAAATCTTATTTCTCCTGAATACAAGGAACTGGGATATTATTATTTAAATAATATTTTACACGCGTTCAGTGTTGATTACTAAAGCCCGTTTAAGTCTTCCTGTAGGCTCTACATTCACTCCCTCTTGCTAAATGAACGCAACGTTAGTCCTGTTCACAAACCCAATACGTTTTAACCGGAAAACAAACATA